TTCCCTTTGGTGGTCCTCCTTTGGACATCGTTCTTGCTTGTCTCGTGGGCTGGAGTGGTGTGTTTCTCGGTCATCTGCGAAAGAGACTCTCAAAGAAGACATGAGAACCTAGTGTATCGCGAAGTACAAACACCACAAAGATAGCAAGAACAGAGCTCTCTCTTTAACAAGACAGGTTTAATGGCTTCTCAGACATCAAAGTAGTTCACAAACAAGCCAATACAACCAGTGGAAGCAAAGATATGTAGACAGTTCAGCTCAGAAACTCAGTTCACCATTAAAGCCGGTTCCAAGCGCAATTTCTCATGAATTTTAAAAACTCAAGAACAAATGATTTTCAGTGCAAGAACCGGTTTTTCATGTGTTGTCTATCCTGATGGGATTTCTAAAATTGTTCCCAAAGGCTGTAGCGGTCTAAAAGAATCGATTCCACAATTTACAAACAAAAATGCTCGCAAAGAATAATGGAAAAAGATGAGTACTTTAGAATGCAAATACCTTTGGGGATTCAAGAGTCAAGCTCAGTGAAATGATTATGCTGAATAGACAACACCCTAATGAATCTAGAGCACTTGGAACCACGTGAGACTAATGAGAAATGAGAGAGTTGTGTTCGTGAAATGCAGAGAAAAGGGTGAAGAAGGCAAACTCTGCATTTTGGCTCGGTATGGAGGCAGGTATGGGCTGGAGCGTGCTTTCCCACTGGCATTTGGACTGTTGTGGGACTGGTCCCCCCTTCTGTTTCAGCTCCAGCCGTTGACTGCGCAAAAAATTGCCTTGACCGAGCGTTTGAATTCAAAATGCCGCGCAAAGCCTCTAAATGACCGCGGTATGGAAATGACGTGGGCCGTACGGTCTAAACCGAATTTCCTCGTGTTAACACAAGTGGCCTCGACATGTTCCACCACGAGGGTACCAAGCCGAGGGATTTGAGCTCATGCTAACGAGTAAATTTCCGTGGCCCTTAAGTCTTTTCCATGGACCACGCAAACCTTCTTCTTCTACCTAAGTGTCCCAAGTGTTCTTGTTTTCGTTCTTTCTTGTGATCGGGCACCTCGGCATGTTCCACCTCAAGGGCATCATGCCGAGGGTACTTGTTTTAACAAAGAACACTTGGTGCTTGGGGGTTTTGGCGAGTCGGCCTTGGTGTAAACTGGTCGCGGCCTCAACTCGAGGTTTTTAACCATTTCATGTGAACATTGCTCCTCGGTATAACTATACCGAGCCATTTACACCATGGGCTTCCCCCACACTTAGTCATTTCACGATCTCAATTTCCACTACACGGCCATGATGTAAATAAGGCGAGGAGTTCAGCCGAGGTTCTCAGGCTTTCACTCGGTAAAAGGTGACCAAGGCATGAATATGCCGAGGGTCGATACCGGGGCTGTGAGTACTCCTGTTCTTAAATCATCAGGCCGTGCATTTCCAAGCCTTTTTGTCTTTCTTTTCTCACAAGATTTACTGTCTAACACCTGAAACACTTAACAAACCCTTCAAAAAGTTTCAAGTAAAAAGGAAAATAAGATGAAAGATGAAATATTTACAAGGATAAGTTTGGGGTGTCTCCCAAGAGCACTTTGTTTAACGTCTCTAAGTTTGACTTTACTTACCTTTTTAGGCAGTTTTGGGTTCAAGAAGAGGAACTGAGGTAGCTCCCTCTCGTGTTTCTGATGCCAAGTAGTGCTTTACCCTTTGACCGTTTACCACAAAGCCTTGTCCATCTTTTCCTTTTAACACAACGGCTCCATAAGGTCTTACTTTAAGAACTGTAAACAGACCGGACCACCTAGACCTTAGCTTTCCAGGGAACAGCTTAAGTCTTGAGTTGAACAACAGAACTTGATCCCCTTCTTTGAACTCTCTCTTTTGTATCTTCTTGTCATGGAGCGCCTTAGTTCTTTCCTTGTAGATTTTAGAGCTCTCAAAGGCGTCTAAACGGATCTCCTCAAGCTCGTGAAACTGTAGAACTATCTTTTCTTGAGCTGTTTTGATATCAAAGTTCAGAAGCTTCACTGCCCACAAGGCTTTGTATTCCAAATCAACCGGTAAGTGACATCTTTTCCCATAGAGCAAGTTAAATGGTGAGGTTCCAATGGGGGTTTTGTATGCGGTCCTGTAGGCCCACAAAGCATCATCTAATTTCTTGCTCCAATCTTTCCTAGATGAGCTCACGGTTCTTTCCAAAATGGCTTTGATCTGGCGGTTTGAGACCTCCACCTGACCGCTCGTTTGAGGATGATAAGGGCTGGCCACCTTGTGCTTTACTCCGTGCTTCTTCAAAAGACTCTCAAGAGTTTTGTTGATGAAATGGCTTCCCCCATCACTGATGACTACCCTTGGAACTCCGAACCTTGGGAAAATGATGCTCTTGAAGAGCTTTACCACAACTTTCGAATCATTAGTCGGAGATGCAACCGCTTCAACCCACTTACTCATATAGTCCACAACAACAAGTATATACGGATTCCCGTATGAGCTTACAAAGGGACCCATGAAGTCAATGCCCCAACAGTCGAAGACCTCTACTTCAAGAATCGGGTTCTGAGGCATTTCATTCCTCTTGGAAATGTTACCGTGCCTTTGACAGGCTTCACACCTTGAAACCACATCCTGAGCGTCTCTAAACATGGTCGGCCACCAGAAACCGCTTTGTAAAACCTTGGCGACCGTCTTGAATGCACCCAAGTGACCACCATACGCTGAACCGTGGCATTCTAGTAGCACTGGATAAATCTCCTCCTCAGCCAAGCATCGTCTATAGAGATGGTCCTTGTTCAGCACGTATAGATACGGCTCATCCCAATGGTATCTCATCACATCTCTAAAGAACTTCTTCCTCTGATAAGTATCAAGATCAGGTGGCTCTAAACCGCATGACAAGTAATTCACCAGATCTGCAAACCATGGGAGGCTTCTTTCTTTGATCGTGTTGGCTTCCTCCACTTCTAAGTAAGATCTGACTAGCATGAGATGTTCCTCGGGTAAAGCATCGTCTATGGGGACTTGTTCTTCAATCCTCAGCCTTGAGAGATGGTCGGCAGCTCCATTCTCAATACCCTTTTTATCAAGCACCTCTATATCGAACTCTTGAAGTAACAGAACCCATCTTAGAAGCCTTGGCTTAGCATCTTTCTTGGTCATCAAATATCTCAAAGCCGCGTGATCTGTATAGACTGTGACCTTTGATCCCACTAGATAGCTCCTGAATTTATCAAATGCGAACACAATGGCTAGCACTTCTTTCTCGGTGGTGGCATACTTTTCTTGAGCTGAATCCAATGTGCGGCTTGCGTAATAGATCACATGAAGCTTCTTATCTTTCTTTTGCCCCAAGACAGCCCCCACGGCATAATCAGATGCATCTGTCATCACTTCGAATGGTAATGACCAATCAGGGGCTTGGACAATCGGTGCACTTATCAATGCTTCCTTGATTCTTTTGAACGCTTCTTCACATTCATCATCAAAAATAAACTCCACTTCTTTACACAATAGCCTCGTCAAGGGTCGAGCTATTTTAGAGAAATCTTTGATAAATCTTCTATAGAACCCTGCGTGACCAAGGAAGCTTCTTATTCCTTTTACTGAGTTCGGAGCTTGTAGGTTCACCATAACCTCGATCTTAGCTTTGTCCACCTCTATGCCTTTCTCTGATACCTTGTGTCTCAAGACAATCCCTTCTTGGACCATGAAATGGCATTTCTCCCAGTTCAAGACGAGTCTGTGCTCCTCACATCGCTTTAGAACCTGAGATAGATTAGCAAGACAATCGGAGAAAGAGGAGCCGTATACAGAAAAATCATCCATAAACACCTCCACTTTCTCTTCAATTAGATCAGAGAAAATATGCATCATGCATCTTTGAAAAGTGGCCGGTGCATTACAAAGACCGAAAGGCATTCTCCTATAAGGGCTAGTAAATGTTGTTTTCTCTTGATCTCGGGGATCTATAGGGATCTGAAAGAAACCCGAGTACCCATCAAGAAAACAAAAATAAGGATGATTAGCTAGCCTCTCAAGCATTTGATCAATGAATGGCAAAGGAAAATGATCTTTTCTAGAATCAGAATTCAGTTTTTTATAGTCTATGCACATGCGATGACCGGTTATGGTTCTTTGGGCTATAAGCTCATCCTTTTCGTTTTTAACCACCGTGATCCCACCTTTCTTGGGCACAACGTGAACAGGAGATACCCACCGTGAGTCAGAGATTGGGTAAATTATCCCTGTCTCAAGGAGCTTGAGAATCTCCCTCTTAACCACCTCTTTGAGGTTCGGGTTAAGACGTCGTTGATGCTCAATAGAGGACATAGTTTGGTCCTCTAGGTATATCCTGTGGGTGCATATGTCAGGAGAGATCCCTCTAATATCAGCCAAAGAATATCCTATGGCTCTCCTGAACTTTCTTATCTCGCTAAGTAATGCACTCTCTTCATGCTCTAGCAAGCTATCATTGATGATCACGAGATATGTGGAGTTTAAACCCAAGAAAGCGTACCTGAGCCCTGTTGGTAGAGGCTTGAGCTCAACAGGGGGTGCATCAGCCTCATTCGAATCGGCATTAAAGCTGCATTGGCTCGGAACAGCTTCCTCGGCCGTCTCTTTCTTGCGCAGTTTACCATCGACCTCGGCACAAGCTATCGCGGCCATGATACCCGGAGGTGTCTCCTCAACACAAGTTCCTTCGGTTGGTCCAAGAGACGCTTGTACACCTCGCTTTCCTCGTTCAAGTACCCGTGCTCGCTTTGTTCCCTTGTTAAGACCACTTGTAATGGATCTTCTGCGTTCAACTCCTCTAAGAGCTCATCAGCTAGCTCCTCCATAGCCTCCACATAGAAAACCTGACCTCCAATGGTCGGTTTCTTCATTATTTCCTTCACGTCAAACTTCATAGTCTCGGAGCCGATGTGTAGCTCGATCATACCCCCTCTCACGTCGATGATCGCTCCTGCTGTTGCTAAGAACGGTCGCCCTAAGATGATGGGGTCTAGAGGTTCCTAGTCCATCTCAAGAACTATGAAGTCAGTGGGGATCTCTATTTCACCGATTCTCAAAGGTAGATCCTCAAGTAAGCCCACTGGTAGTCTCACCGATCTATCAGCTAACACAAGGGAGATCTTGGCCGGCTTGTAGCTTTTGAATCCCAGTCTCCTGGCCACCGTGTAAGGCATTAAGCTCACAGAAGCTCCTAGATCACATGAGCAATTTGAGAATTTCAAGTGACCTATGGCGCACGGCAAAGTAAAGCTGCCCGGATCGGATAGCTTTCTTGGTATAGATCTCCTCTGAATTATAGCGTTGCACTCGTGACTCAATATTACCATACCCTGGAGCTCCTTTGTCTTGTTGAGAATCGCATCCTTTAGAAACTTTCCAAGCTGTGGTATAGCTAAGAAAGCGTCTATGATAGGCAAAGTCAGTTGCGTGTTCTCCAAGTGTTTCTCAAAGACCGCTTTGGCTTTGTCTAGGATTTTCTTCTTGAAATGCCCTGGGAATGGTATCTTGGGCTGGTAAGGTGGTGGTGGGACGTAGGGTTTTTCAAGCTCAGGTGTCTTCTCCACCTCTTTTCCTTTGTCTTTAATCGGTTCCTTCTCCAAAACCTCTTCTTGTTGAGCATCATCTGAGGCTGCCTCCCCTCCGAGTTGCCCATTGGCCTCAATGAGCTTTGTTTTAGATGCTGGAGCTTGTAATTCTTTACCACTCCTCAATGTGATGGCGTTCACATATTCCTTGGGGTTAGGCTCCGGCTTACCTGGTAAAGCCGGTCCTCTTGATGATGTCGAAGCTTGGTTCTGCTTAAGCTCCCGTATATCCTGTTGCATTGTAGCGTGCTGGCTCTCGACCCTCTGCTGACCCTGTAACAGTTGCTGTAGAATCCCACAGACATCAGGTCCCATCTGATTCTGACCCGTTCCCTGGTTCTGTTGCTGATTACCTATCGGCTGCGGATTGAACCCTGGTGGAAACTTATGTTGCTGCGGTTGTCTGTTGAAGGTGTTGCTTTGAGCCGGTAGGTTTTGCTGACTATAACTCTGTTGCTGCCCATTGAATTGTTGCTTGGGCTGAAAGCTATTCTGAAATGGAGCTTTTAGAGCATAGCTTTGTTGGTGTTGTTGGGCAGGGTACACTTGGTCTTGAGGGTTAGCTACATTTGGGTTTCGGTAAGAGAGGTTGGGATTATTGCTGTAGTTGTTAAACCGCTGATACCTTTGCTGATTCCCTATGTAGTTCAGCTCCTCTTGAGTTAGACCATCTTCATTGACATTATCAAAACTCGGCACATGCTCATCAAACCCGCCTACAAAGTGTATTGGCTTTTGTGTAGCCATTAGAACTTTGTCAAGCTTGCTCTGTAGCTCTCTGATATCTTTCTTCATGCGCTGTTCTTCACTAGATCCCTCTGAACGGTTTGCCCTGTCAAAATATTCACCATACGTGTCATTGGACATGGCGAGGTTCTCCACTAGTTCCATTGCCGCATTGATCTCCTTCCCAAGAAAATTTCCATTTGAGGCTGTATCGAGTTGGTTTATGATCTTGGGGAGGGCACCTCGGTATAGAGTACTCAGGAGGGATGCCTCCGAGAAGCCGTGGTGTGGGCATTGGTTGGTATAGCTCCTGAAACGTTCCCAAGCTTCACTAAAACTCTCGTTGTTTTGCTGCATGAAACTTGAGATCTGATTCATTAGCTTTGCCGTGCGTGATGTGGAGAAGAACTTGGATAAGAACGCCAGTTTACACTGCTCCCACGTTTGTATAGAACCCCTCGGGAGGTTCTTTTCCCACTGGTGAGCTTTATCACCGAGGCTGAATGGGAACAGGCGCAGCTTGAAGCTATCTTCTGACACGCCATTAATCTTTGTGAGGTCGCAAACCCGATCAAATTGATCAAGATGCTCAAGAGGGTCCTCTCCGGGTAGACCGTGAAACTTGGTGTTCTGCACCATATTGAGCAGGGAAGCTTTAACTTCAAAGTTGTTGTTTTGCACGGGAGGTGCCTGAATCCCGGCTCTATATTGGTGCGCGTTAGCTCGGTCGTTTTCTCCAACAAAGACCGGAGGAGGTTGTCTCTGAGCTGGTGGCGGAGGCGGATGAACATGATGGGCTTGCTGCTCATTTCTACTTGCTTGATGTTGATTTTGCTGAGCAAGCCTTTCATTTCTTTGAGCCTGTTGTTGGTTAACGAAGGCTTGTTGTTCATTTCTTTCTGCATGTGGTTGATTAGCCTGAGCCTGGTGCTCGGCATCTTGAGCCTGCTGCTCTATCCTTTGCTGTTCTGCCATTCCAAGCCTTTCAAAGTGCCGTTCTCTCTCGCGAGCTCGCCTTTCAATCCTGTTGATGTTATTGTCGTAAGGGAGAGGCGGTTCTGTGCTGCGAGACCTGGTTTTCATGCACCTGAAAGCAAAGCTAGAACTTGCAAAAGAGTTAGTAAAACTAAAGAAAGTAAAGTCTTGATCTTAAGAACAAATACACTACAAGAAAACAATCGTTTTCCAATGGTCCATTACGACGGTTTTAAAATCGTCGCAAACTTACAAAGATTTTACGACGATGTTACGTCAAATTTAAAAACCATCGTATAAAAAAATTATCGTAAACTCGACGTACAATTTACGACGAATTACGACGAATATACATCGATAACGAGAGATTTGCTAGTAAATATAAAATCGTCGTAAATTAGATGCAAAGTTACGACGAATATACGACGACTGCATTTCGATGTACATATTACGACGATTTTACGTCGACAAAGAAGTTAGGTGAAGAACATTTAAAACATGTTCACCTAACAATTGTAGATGAAAGATTTTATCGCATAATCATCGTAAAATCGTCGTAATATTATTGTTGAATGTAAATTAGTCGTAAAATGTCGTCGTAAAAGCGTTGTAAGGCCCGAAATTTTCCTATAAATAGATCTTCATTCCTTCTTTCAATCACAACACATCATCATTCAAACATAAGAGCATCATCATCTTGGAGACCCATTGTAGGTCTCTTAAATTTTAGTATAGTGTTGTAAATCCTTATATATTGGGTTATCCATTGCTGGAAACCCGAATTAGGAGTTATTTACTTTGAAAAAAAAGAAGTAATAATATTAAAAGGGTAATTTACTCCATTCACGTGGCTAGACGTGACACAAGAGACCAGCTCCTTTATTGTCTAATCAATAAATAGAGATAGTATTTTGAGTTTATTTTCAAGATGTCTATATACGAGCTAAGAAGTTGGATGTATATGCGTAAAGATTCAGATGGGGCGTTGACAGAAGAGTTCAAGAACGGGTTAGAAATATTTATGTTCCAGGCTACAAATATGGAGAGAACGAAAGATAGTGGGAAGATGTTTTGTCCTTGTTTGAAATGCAAGAATACGAGGTATACACTAACCAAAACCGTGTGGACGCATTTATTAAATAGAGGGTTTATGCCGCAATATTTTTTTGGTATCTACATGGACAAGGATATGGCAGTAATACTCATAGGAATGCTGGTAGTAGTAGTAATTATCAAAGTCATTTTGATTTTGATGAATCGAATTATGGTCATCAGCCTAATCAGTATCAATATGATCAAAGTGTAGATCATGATAGGATGCACGAAATGGTGACTGATGCATTTCATGAAACGCATACTGGTAATGCTGTTGAGGAACCTAATGTAGATGCCAAACGATTTTATGATTTGTTAGACAATGCTTATCAGCCAATCTACGAAGGATGTAGAGAAGGCTTGTCTAAATTATCGTTGGCAGCTAGGATGATGTCAATTAAAACAGATCATAACCTGGCTGAGGTTTGCATGGATGATTGGGCTGATCTTCTGAAAGAGTATCTACCGGAGGATAACTTGGCAGCGGGAACATACTATGAAATACAGAAATTGATTTTTAGTCTTGGTCTACCTTCTGAGATGATAGATGTATGTGTTGACAACTGTATGATTTTTTGGAAAGATGATAATCAGCTGGAGGAATGTCTATTTTGCTAAAAACCAAGATACAGGCCGCAAACTGGTGGGCATAAAAGGATACCGTACCAACGTATGTGGTATCTTCCTATAACTGATAGGTTAAAACGGCTTTATCAATCTGAAAGGACAGCTACATCAATGAGATGGCATGCGGAACATACACAAGTAGATGGAGAAGTTGTTCATCCATCAGATGCAAAGGCATGGAAACACTTCAATATGGTATACCCAGATTTTGCTAAGTTCAAACGGAATGTCTATCTTGGTCTGTGCACTGATAGTTTTAGTCCATTTGGTATGTCTGGTAGACAATATTCATTATGGCCAGTAATCCTAACTCCTTATAACCTTCCTCCAGATTTGTGCATGCAAAGGGAATTTCTTTTCCTAAGTATTTTGGTTCCAGGTCCAAATCATCCGAAGCGAGCTCTCGATGTATTTCTGCAGCCACTCATACATGAGTTGAATCAGTTATGGTATACTGGCGTTCGCACATATGACTGTTCTACGAGGAAAAATTTTACTATGCGGGCTGTGCTTATGTGGACTATAAGCGATTTCCCCGCTTATGGTATGCTATCAGGATGGACTACACATGGAGGCTATCTTGTCCTTATTGTCTTCATCGAACTGATGCGTTTCAGCTAAAACATGGTAGAAAAACTTGTTGGTTTGATTGTCACCGGAGGTTTTTACCGGATAACCATCCATAGCGGAGGAACAAGAGGTTATTTATGAAGAACAAAAGTGTACATGTCCCTCCACCCGTAAATTTAACAGGAGCTGATATACAGGCGCAAATCGATCATTGGAGGGCAGAGGAAACAGTAACGCGTGGGGGAAACTGGCACACTCCTGCAAATATGCCTGAAGGTTATGGAGTTCATCATAATTGGCACAAGAAAAGTATCTTTTGGCAACTACCTTATTGGAAAGATCATCTGCTCAGACACAATCTTGATGTCATGCACATTGAAAAAAACTTTTTTGATAATATCATCCATACAGTTATGAACGTAGCGGGAAGAACAAAAGACAATGGTAAGTCAAGATTGGACTTGCCTGATTTATGCAACAGAAGTGAGTTGCATCTACTGAGAAACGGGAAAGCACCAGTTCCTGTATTTCGGTTGAGTGCAGATCAAAAGTCAGCATTGTTCAGATGGGTTTCTTCAGACGTTAAATTTCCTAATGGGTATGTCTCTAATCTTTCCAAATCTGTTGAGAAGGGAGTAAAGTTTGCTGGGATGAAAAGCCATGACTGCCATGTGTTTATGCAACGATTATTTCCATTTGCATTTGCTGAACTCTTGCCCAAAAATGTCCATGAAGCTATTGGAGGCATTGGTGCTTTTTTTCGGGGTCTTAGTACACGAACATTATCAGTTGATGTAATATCACAACTGGCATTGAATATTCCAATCTTGTTGTGCAATTTGGAAAAGATCTTCCCACCATCATTTTTTGATGTTATGGAACATCTTCCTGTTCATCTCCCACACAAAGCAAAGCTCGGTGGACCCGTTCAGTACAGATGGATGTATCCGTTCGAGCGTTTCATGAAGCATCTTAAGGGTAAAGCCAAAAACCTAGCTAAAGTGGAATGCTCAATTGTGGCGGGAAGCTTGACGCAAGAGACTTCACACTTCACTTCATACTATTTTGCACCGAAAGTACGAACACGCAAAAGAGCTACTCGTCGATATGATGATGGAGGAGTTGGCCAAACATATGCCGTTGAAGGTGTACCTGACATATTCTCGCCGATCGACGTCTTAGTGCAAAACTAAAAGAAGTTTGGTGGTCCAATGAAAAAGATTATCACAGTGCACATACGTATATCCTGTTAAATTGTGAAGAATTGTCATCGTATGAAAGATACTTTTTAATTAATAATATCTTTATATGAGTTGTCAGTATTAATAACTAATTGTTGTTTTCTCAGCACATTTGTTGATGAGGTTAAAGAATGCATATCTGGGGTTTCTGAAACTGAAATCAATGATCGTAAAGATCAACACTATGCCCAGTGGTTAAAAGGGCAAGTACGTATAAAATTTTAATTAAAAGACTACTTTAATTTGCTATATATCCAAATCAAGAAATTAAAGCAAATTGTTTTCTTATTAGGTGGACCCGAATGATCCGGATGAATTTCCAACATGGTTCCATGAGTTACTACTAGGTCTGATGGCAAAAATAACTAAAGCCTCCATGTATTTCACTCGGGGCTATGTTTTTCACACATACCGTCACGGTGCAAAGCGGGCGACAACTAACTATGGAGTTTGTGTGAGGGGTGAAATAAATTTTTATGGAGTTCTGCAAGAAATAATTGAAGTAGAGTATCCTGGATTGTTAAGGCTTAAAACTGTTCTCTTCAAATGTGATTGGTTTGATCCAACTGTTGGAAGAGGGGTACGTCTAAACAAGTTTGGAGTTGTTGACGTGAACAAATCACGACGGTACAACAGGTTTGAGCCATTTATATTAGC